GGTGTTGAGCCAATTGTCACTTTGATTATTATTTTTATGCAAGTTTAAGACTAGTTTGGTGTTGTACTTACCAGAAATTATGAAAACTAAAAACAGCTCCTTCACAGGGACATCTCTTGGTTTTAATATTATTGCATAATTATATATGATGTTATATTTTATAACATTTTCATAACCTGAGCTCTCCATAATTTTGTTGTGAATTAAATATATTCACAGTAACTGAATGAAAGCAAGGCCTATACACCCACAGTGAACACTAGTATTTTTTTTTTTTTTGTCTTTTTCAAACAGGGTCTCACTATGCAGTTGAGGCTGGCCTTGAGCTCACTTTGTAGGCCAGACTGGCCTTGAACTCACAATAATCCTCTTGCCTCAGCCTTCCAAAGTCTGAGATTACAGGCATGAGCCACCATGCCCAGCCTGAACAGTACTATTTACCTCTAGCATATAACACACGATTCTTCTGTTTGGATTGTCCCTTTCAGAATGGTAACCTATACGATTGATTCTTGATTCTTAACATATATTCTGATTTGAAAACTCAAAGTGTCATGCATTGTTTTAAATCTTAATATTCAAAATTTATAAGCTCCCAAGTTTTTCTTCCTCCTGGATAATGAAACTGTCTATAATATCGCAGAAATTCAATGTTTCAATATGCATAGAAAAAAGTACTATTTCAAAACACAGCATGAAGTAATTTCAGCTCTCGGGTGGTAAAACACGTAACTCATTCTCTCCAGAGCTATTCTTTATATTCCTGATTTTTCCCACTCTATTTTTCATATTTGATTAGCTATATTATTTTACTTATTGGCTGAGATATAATCACCCTTATTTCTGAGATTTTGTATCTGAGGGTGCATGGATTAATTAAACTACCCAGTCCATGTCAGTTTAGGCCAAGTTCTGCATTATGTCAGAAGCTAATGGCTGCAAATTTTGGCTAGTAAATTGTTTTTTGTTGCTGTTATCGTGTTGTATTTTGTTTTGTTTCAGTAAAGCAACAGCAGTGTCTGCAACAATTCTCCTAGTGATGCAATGACACATATCTGTTAGGACTGAAATTACATAGCCAGCAAGGTGGCAAAGGTTGTCCACATAATTTACATACTGTTTAGGACAGCACTTTTCCAAGACATGAAGTGCTGCAAAACATAGCTGTACAACCCCCGAAAGTCAGCAGGGCAGAGCAGTTACAGCCGCAGGATGCAGAAGATGGGGTTCCTATGATTCTAACTTTATTTTCAGCAGATCTTGAAAAAACAAAAACTTTAAATATAGCACATTCGGTACAATATGCTTGGAGTTTGAGATTGGTTCCATTTTAGTATTCTTTTCAGGCTGGATTTAGACTTACTTAGTGTTGTTTTAGTCCCTTTTGAGTTTGGATTAAGAGATTGGTTCTCAAGGGCAGGGTGCCAGGTCCAATTTAGCATTAGCTAGTTCATGCTATTCTGGCTAATGAAGCCATTGATTGAATAATCACAAGGGACTAGCAGAATCTGATGCGCCCTCCCTAATTAGATGAAATTTGTCAAAGAGCCACTACATATCTATTTGTGAGACCAAGTACATACACATGGTACATTGTTGTAGCAGTTAGTAGAATGCTGAGCTGATGACTGACTTTCTTTGTGCTCTGTATTCACTCTGTGTCACCCTCTCTATAGACTAGGATAACCGGCTCTTTGGCCTCTGATTGGGTTTGTCAACAGCAGTCATGGAAAGGAAATCAGGGGACAGGAGAAGAAAGAGTTTAGGAGTTAGGGTCCCTTGCTGTCTCCACACAGCTTGACCATGCTGGTATGAATTCTTCTTCATGGCTATGGGTGGATAGGGCTTCTTTCTGCTTGTCCCTACTCCCTGAGTATCATAGCATACACTATCTTCTCTTCATCTTGCCCATTCTAGAATTAATAATCTCTTAGATTCTCTTCATTACATTCTAGAATACAGTCTATCTCCCATCTAGATTGTAACTGTGCACACACACAAAACAACTGAGCTGTGCATTTCGTGAACCTTTGAACACTGGAAATTAGCAACAGTAAGCCCCCAAGTGATTGTTGTCTACCCAGTATTTTCAAACTATTTCTCTAAATTTTACTCAGTCACTTCAGTCTCAAAGTGAATCTGAAAATTTTAAAAGCAAATATTTAAACATAACAGTATTCTCCATGTCCCTGTGGGTCAGAAGCCCATTGGACACAATTTCAGGGTGGCACTTTCATTAACTGCTACTTTCTACTTGTACATTTTGTTTTGTCCCTTGTCCTTATCTTTAAACTATAATTCAGAAGCTTAAAAAAGGTATAATTAACAGAAGTCCTAGGAATTGTCAGATAATTCAGCACGTAAGTATGTAAAATGACTCACCTTTCAAAAAAAATTAAAATTCAGTAGTTACCAAACAAGTTTGTTAAGAGCCCTACTGGAACGTTTAACTTTCCTATGATAACATTTCATTTGTAGGTTGATTTTTGCAGTACTGGGCATAGAACTCAGGGCCTCCAGCATGCTGGACAAATGTTTTGCCATTGAGCTAAATTTCCAGCCCTGAAAGTGATTTTGGGATACACATTGCAGGGAAACAAAGATGGACACTAAAAACTGTTTTCATTTCACTTAGATGTAACAGATCTTCTCAACTAAAAGAGCTTAGAGTTACCATTTAACTTACAGTAAAAAAAAAAATCATGTATTTACTTCTGTTTTATTATTTTTGTGTATTTATCTTTTCTAGTAAATTATTTTATCTCTGTATTATTTTTATTATTTCTATCCTACTATCATTTTATTTAACTCTAAGATTTCCCTAAACAAGTGCAATATCCTTTTATTTTTCAAAATAAAAACATTTAGATATGCTAAAATGCTGCTAATGATGAAATGTTCCCATTTTATTTGCCTTTTAATTTGCTTTGTAATTTTTTTGTCTTTTCTTTCCTTTTGAGTCAGTAAACATACAGAGATATATGTTCTGTTTTTAGTGAGGTCATGTTCTTTGCTTATTATTTTCTTCTTTACTTAAATTGCAGTGAATCATAATCCAAGGCTGTGGTCTTTCAATAATGACCTTCATCTTCCTGTATCTTATCAATTTTCTTGGAATATATGTGACAAATTTACAAGGTCACTCAATGGATAAAACTTGAAAATTTACTTGATACATTAATATGTTAATTTCTAACTGTTTGTGGCTCTTTTTTGAGTATCCCATCCCAATGTGCATGTAAATGTCCACAGTACTATTTTACATCAACTCCTTTCGTTTTTTCTGAGCACCAGAGTCTATGTTCTTTGGTGCCTCTCTGTTCATTAGATTTATCACATCTGTATAAGTTGAGATTGTTTCACCACATAACTCCCCTCTCTGGCCATGATGAATGTGTTTCTAAATCAAATCCTGCTTTACTCACATCACTTTTCCTGCTCCATTGTTTGCATCTTCTGTATTTGCTGCTATTTTTTCTAATCTTTAAATTTTAACATTTATCTCATTAAGTGTGTTTCTCATAAACATCGTAACTTTTTAGTTTTTTTAGCCATAAATTTGAATTGCTTTTTTTTTTTTTTTTTTTTGGTTTTTCTCTGGTACCGGGAACCGAACTCACGACCTTGCGCTTGCCAGGCAGGCACTTTTGCCGCTGAGCTAAATCCCCAGCCCCTGAATTGCTATTTTTATTAGAGAATAGTTAAATGTGTTCACACATAGATTGGTATACTTAACCCTTCCATTTTGTTTCTCTTTTATTTTACTCTTACATTTCTTCTTTTTTTATACTTTCTACTTAATAAAGGTTATATTTATCCTAAACTCATAATCAAGTACAATGTATTACTTAAATAAAAACTGAGATATGTCACCATGCTTTTTCCCTGAAAGACATAAAATTCTTTGTTTTTCTTACTGTCTAATAATTTGGGTGGATCTGTTTCAAATATGAGTTCACCACACATCCACAACAGCTAGCCTTACAAGGGAAATGTATTTCATGACTCTGAAGGAGAAAGAGTAACAACTTTACATTTTTAAATATAAAGTTTGGTGAACTAATAAAATACCAATCACATACCATTTGGAGTTTTAATGAAGGCGTGTACATGGATTTAAATACATCTGAATATTCACAGTAATACTATCCAAAGAACAGCAGTAGTAAAAAATTATGGAGAAAACAAGCTAGTATGAATAGGAAATGTTTTGCAAGATGACTCTAGTATCATAATCATATCTTCTTGTATATGGCAAAGCTTGATGTGCATTTGAGGAAATTTTATTTAAGGTCTAAGATACTCCACTAATTTTTGGTACAAAAATTACCAGGGTATTGTACATTTGATTAAATTTTAGCTTTTTGTGGAATTTTGTTAATTCCAGGGAAATATATGATTTATCAAAAAGAGACTAACTTAAAGCCCTAGCCCTTTTCATTTTTATGCTTCAGCCACTCAGGTTGAAAAATATCCCATTAAGTGAAAAAAACTTTAAATATTCTGTTGGGTTCATACCATCATACTCTGAACATATAAGGCTAAATATGGAAACATAAGATGTTACTGCATATTATTTTAGTATAAGACTAAATAGTTAATACTATACATCAGTTCTTTTGCATTTTGTTATATAACTGCAGATTTTTAAAGATCAGTACCATTTATGGTCTGTGTGAGAAAAGCAGAGGTAATTAATTTTAAGGTAAGCATTTTGCTGATTAAACAATTATATGAGAGGTCATAAATGTGTTAATCTAGATGCTGAGAATGTGTTGGAAAAATCCAAAGAAGTCAAGTGTTAACCAGAGTTTATGATTTCATGGGAGTCATGGTGGGGTACCATGGGGAGAGAGCAGTAGAAAATGGAAAAAATGGATAAAACAAGCGTAAAATACCTTGAGGCCCACACTGGCTTGAGATATTAATTGTATTAGAAAAAAAAAAGCACAATACACCAATATTTTACAGTCTTCATGCATGACTGCCAGTTGACTTACTTTCACCTGTTGAATAATCCTGTGGATCAAGTATTCCTGACTCCTGTAGGGATCGAATGCAGGAGTCCACCAGCTCCAGACCTGTGGTAAGTTCATCTTCAATATCTTTTTGACCATCTGAAAAAAAATGACATTTTAAAGTAGTGAACAAAAACCCATGACGAGTTAATACAAAAGCTTTAGGTTAGACTTTCTTAATTAGAAGTATCCTAACTAAATATAGTAGCTATATAAAGATCTCATTAGAAACCTTTTGTAATTCTGGAAAGCCGACATTAAACCCAGCGCCTGTTAATTCTATGTACTCGTGGACAATTTAAAATTACTAGAGGATTAAGAAAACTGAGCCAAGTGTGGTGGCATATGCCTGTAATCCCAGCACTCAGGAGGCTGAGGTAGGAGGATCACTGTGAGTTTGAGGTCAACCTGGTCTACATAGTTTGTTTAAGGTCAGCCTGAACTGCATAGCAAAACTCCCTCTCAAAAAACCAAAACCAAAACCAAAACCAAAACCAAAATCAAACAAACAAACAAATTGAACTCGCAACAAATGGTGAACATCATGACAATTTCACTTAACTTGTACTGTTACATTTTTATCCAATATCTTTTTCTAAAGTTCACAGGAAAATTGATCAGCAGATACATGTGAAAGGAAGTGTAAGCACTCATCAAGAATCTCTACCTTACCTTGTGACTGCCAATGAAACTGCTCCTCTGCTGAACTGTAAAAAAGAGAACACACACAGGTATAATGCACTGATTAGCAAAGACAAGACTAAACTGTAGGACACAAAGGTGCGCTAGCATAGTAAGGCTGGTTCCACATCATTCCCTTAAATTCCTCATTGGGAAGACTGCTCCAGTTTTGATATAATGTTAATTTTAAGCTATCTGCTTTGTATTTCTTTTGTTTCACAGCATTAGCATGGGCATTGTTCAGTAAGTTTCACAAGGACAGCTCATTAAAAAAACACCAATTGGCTTTACCAAATGAAACAAAACAAAACAACTGGTTACACTTGTTTCTTTCTTTTTTTTTTTTTTTTGATATGGGAAATTGAACTCAGGATCTCATGCTTGCCAGGCAGGCACTGTGACACTGAGCTATATCCCCAGCCCATTTTTTTCTTACAATATTTTCTGCACATATGTAGCTTCACACAATTTTATTTATTTTATTTTATTTTATTTTATTTTTTTTTGGATTTCTTCCGGTACCGGGAACCGAACTCATGACCTTGTGCTTGCCAGGCAGGAGCTTTTGCCGCTGAGCTAAATCCCCAGCCCAATTTTATTTATTTTAAAATACCAGTCCACAGAGTGTTGTACAGACTTTTTAATGTAGCCTAATAAAAGGAATAACGATCTCTTTTTTATTACAGAGAAAATAAAATGAACCTCTGTTTTCACTTTGACATTTCTTATGGCTATTTTCTTTCCATTGATCCTCATAGCTTAAATTATGTAATTTAAAAATAATAACCCATTACCACCAACTGAATATATATTTCCAAAATTCTCACTTACCAATACATCATATAAAATACCCAGCTAGGAAGACTTGTTGACATATATGAAATGCCAATGACATTGTTCAGAGTGGAACAAGTAGGCAGCATTGATTTATTTTGAATGTTGTATTAAACACAAAAGAAATGAATGGATTGAACGTCTCTAATCTTAAACACTTTCATTGTATATGCAGACCCTTTCTACACGGGCAATTTTTAATATATTAGCACTTCATGAGAAATCTAACAGATACCATTTTGGGAGTGGTTTCTTACACTTATTTCATCAGATCTTTTCCTCTGATCAAGCAGCTTGTATGAATAGCTTATCAGTTCCTTAGCAGCAAGTAGATTTTAAACCTTCAGTCTGTACTTAAGAGGTGGCTTCTGAATTCATTTATGGGAGAAAAAGGAAAATCTGGTATAAATCAATGTTCAGAAAAGCCATGATTGACATAAATGAAGGAAAGAATAGTCCCTTAAGAAACAAATGACTTTTTTAGGGTGTCTTGCTCCTGAGCCAACCCATGTTAACAAACTCGAAAATGATTTTATAATAATAAGAGCTACAGAAAAATTGATGCATGAACTGAGAACTGTACAAATTGAGTCCCATGCAACTAGTTTTTGAATCAGAAAGATACAGCATTGTGTATATAGCAGCTACATTTAACTACATCATAACCCTTAAAATAGAAATATTTAAAATTACAAGACAGGTTCTCTTCGTCAGTGGTCTTTAGTATATCACAGTCCCTCATAACATGCAAGAATCACTAGAGTAAGTGTGAACCATAGTCATCCTAGCTGTTTTAATCCTCTAAGAAGGCTATTAATCATTATTTTTCTAGGGTGTAAATATCAGAATATTAATGTTTAAATATTAATCTCACTGGTCATTTGAAAAGGCTGGCGTATGTGGTAGGCATATTGATTCCAAGTAATTTCAAATGTTTACATGTGTCAGATTCATCTGCAGCAATTTTTACATATATGCATGTTAGCTGCCACCAGAAATTTAAAAGATCAGAAAAATCTAGAGGCCGGGCTTGGAATCCATACTAACAGTCTTCTGTGATGATCCTTATATGTTGCTAACTTTGAAAATTGCCAGATACTATTCTCCTTAATTATCAATCCACTGTGAATTTAGAGTTGCTTCACAACATCATTCTTCTATATTTTGAGGCTGGACAAATTCTCAAGATGGTGCAGCATTCTCAGCGTGTATATGCCATGGATTTATATAGGGCTATAAAATACTTTCGTATTGTAGTGGGCTGAGCAACGGCCACATTTCCCTGAAAGATGACTTTAAATCACAACCCTGAAGCTTGTTAATGGTAACTTACTTGGAAAAAGGATTTTCGGAGGGGATCATTCTGAATCATCAAAGAGGGCTTTAATTCCAATGATTAATGTCTTTCTAAGAGACAGCAAAGGTGACACATAAACAGGGAAGGAAGGCTTGTTAAGATGGAGGCAGAGACTGGGGGGATGTGCCCACAAGCCAAGGATTGCCTGATACCATCTGCAAGTCCTTCTGATTTTGAACCTTTGGCCTCTAAAACTGTGAGAATAAATTTCTATCGCTTTAAGCCAACCCCTTGTGGTAATTTGTTATGGAAGGCCCAGAAAACTGAGGCAACATATTTTCCGATACAATGGGAACATTCATGAGAATGTTCATGAGATCTTGAGATCCTAGATCATGCAAGATTCACTAGTATCTCTCATTACTACATGCCTTTAACATACAGGTACTGACTACTAAATGCTTATTGCATACCAAGGTCCTACCCTTTTGCAACAACCACAGATCATTTTTGTAGAAGGGATTTACCATGTTAGACAGCTTGATCACACAGCTGTTAAAGAGCTCAGCAGACAATGAAAGGAAACGGTGCATCTAAAACTCAAACTCCTCCTCCACAGTGCCCAGTCATGGCCGGAAACTCACTTTGGTTACTTCCCAGCTAACGCAGTACAAGTAACTGAGGCCCTGGAAATCACTCCCAAGGCTCTTCAAGGTCCTGCTTCCTCTTCTCCAGGCACACTGAAGACCACACTGCTCAGTCTCTTGTAGGAAGACAGGGTCAGCGCAAAGCTGAGAGGCACGCCTGGCATGACGTCTGCATACTGTCGCTCTTCTTCAGTTCTGTGCTAGCGTGGGTTCCTGAGTAACACACGGAATGGAGACTTCTGCCAGCCCACAGAAAAACAGAGCATGAGAGACTGCTAAACCACTGTTGCATTAGAACTCTGAAGCTGTGGTGCGGCTGATTCTGTAGCATAAATGTCACCATGAGCACTACAGAAATGTGTATTCATAGCAGTCTCATTTACAAGGCATTTCCTGCTTCTCAGCTTCCATTTCTACAGCTCGGAGCTGGATGAACATGTCCTGGGCAATTCTACACTGAAGAAGGTAGAACCACTGCTTTAGTTCATCCTCTGGGATTGTCTTCTCTTCCTCAGTAATGGGTGATTTTATGAGTATGGCTTCATAACATGGTACTATATAATATTTATTTTCCTATTTGTCTCTTTGAAAAGTATTTCAATTTTATGATGCAACAGAAACAAGAAGAAATGTTTTTACTACAATTGAAAAAATAGCATTGACAGCGAATATAAAACTATCCTCTCAAAGCAAGGCACCTTGCTTTCAGGCAGACAAAAAAGCATTAATCATTTCAGTGGTTTCCCTCATCCCTTTCACACAGTTAAAACGCATTAAACATGTAACTGCTCTTCATAAAGAACAGGAATCCCAAGAGTTTGGACTTTATTTCTTCAAGTGCACACTTCACTCTCTGCTAGGGGATTCTACACAGTCACACATTTTATGCATTTGATTTCTTCTCTTAAAATTACTCTAAGGTGGGTGTTTTAAAACAGCAAACAAACTATTCGTATAATAATCACGGATCATGCTTGTGTCTCAGAACCCTCATATCAGGTGTCAGCAAGAACCTGTGGTATACCTTCTCTCAGTTACATAATCAATTTAATATAACTGAAAAATCCTTCTGAAGCTGTTGTGACTTCGATGCAAGTTCAATTTCAGGAAGTAAAGTTTGTTCTCACTGCTGCAATGCTGTTTCTTGAAATAGAAATCACCTCTAAAGAATTAAATCTAAGAAAAATGTAGATATAATTTAAATCAGTTCATAGGTACTTAAACATACCTATGTATGAAGTGTAACATCTGAAATATTAAGTAGAGATTTTAGAGAAATATTTTTAAAGGACAATCCTAAAGGCTAATACTTTCAAGCTCTCACTTTGTACCAAGCAGTGTTCTAATGGACTTACAGTTCATCTTCATTACTAAACTACTTTCCTTCCTTCCTTCCTTCCTTCCTTCCTTCCTTCCTTCCTTCCTTCCTTCCTTCCTT